CTTTATAACGGAGGTTATGCAATTTGTTTGTTTGTTTGCCTTTCAGCGAAGATATTCATCCCAAACCAGATTTACAGTAAACCTCTAAAACAGCAGCATTTAAATAGTTTTCCGCTTGGACAGGACTCAGAAAAGCAGCTGCTTTGATTTCAGACTGGATCACTGTGGACATTTTGAGCATTTGTCACGTTTTCATGTCACACAGCAACTTCCTGGTGTTTGATCTCCATGTCGAGCTATTGCAGCTACTCGTTTACAAACAAGACAAAATATCAATCTTCTCTGTGATCCTTTCAAAAGAAGCAAAGAAATTAAAAATTCAAAGTATATCTAAACTTGTAGCAGCCGGGTTTAACAAGCTACATTACCATCTGCCCTGCAGCTGAGCAGACCTCAAAGTCATTTAGATTAAAACCCGCTAAGAGCCAAACAGAAAATGGCCCAGATTACGCATGTGTCTGCACCACTAAAACAGGCTTGTTTATATGGCCAAACAAGAAAAAAGGGCTTTCAGACTAAATGATGGAAATTAGAAAAGCAAAAGCTTGAATATTGGAGAATAGCGCAAGTTTTTCAGATTGGATTGACAAAGAAATACTGACATAAAGGAAAAAGGAGATCATTTCTGGCTGAAAATTAAAGTTTGAAGTGAAATGTGGCGCGGCTTGTAGGATTTGATTCAGTATCCACAAAACTTATAAGCCTGAAATGTATGTTTTATGGCCCTCCGTCCCTAATTTAGCTAAACATGAATGTGAAAAGAAGCCAGGATGTCCGATTTCCAAAACTTAACATGTGACTGCGTGTGACGGTGTGTGCAGGTCCAGATTAAAGTAACTACATTAAACTGGATAAACTAATCAGCTACACCACTTTTCTCATTAGGTCAAAAAACAAATAAACAGGTAGAAAAGTTTTATTGTACAAAAATCAAGCAAAAGGTTGCGTTTTTTGAGTAATTTGCTAAAATTAAAGAAATCTCAGAGTTCAGCTGCAGCGTAAGCTCACTTCCAAATCACTGACGGAGCCCTAAAGCTGCGCTGCAGACAAGCAGTCTGAAGCGCCTCGCTTAATTGGTTATTTGGGAGGAATTTTAACTGGATTCCAGTTGGAATCTGCCTAAATTGAATTGCGGCCGGGCTGCACTGGGCCGGGCTGGAGCAGCGCGACAGAACCAAGGGAAAAAATGGTTTGGCTCTGGAGGCTCACAACAAGCTCAAACAGGAAGTCATTCAACACAAAACCAGTAAAAAAAAAAAAGAAACGAAGACCAGGCGTGCACAAACACATATGAGCACATGTGTTCGCGAGCCAAAACACGGAAGAAAGAGTCAATTTGGAATGCATTCCTGCTCCTCCTCCTCCTCCCCCGTCCTTGCATGAGTCAGGGCGTCTTTCTGTTCGTCTCGCAGCCTGAAGGCCTTTGGAAAACTCCGCAGTGAATTTTACAGACAGAGAAAATATTAGAATCCAAAACAACAACGGGGAAAATGCAGATGTCGAGGGAAATATGCAACCCACAGTTAAGATTATCGGAGAAAGTTGACGTTTAAAAAACACACAGATCCACGTAGAGGGAGACAAACTGAAGGGACGAGATGTAAACAGGCAGGAGTTCCCCAAGGCACTTTGTCTGGACACCAGTTGTTATCAGATTTTAACAAATAGATTACCTGTCAGGTAACACAGGATGTAAGCTGGACCAGACTGTCTTATCTGGGCAGTAGCCCAGGGCGCCAATTTCTTTGGGAGGATAGAAAGATTTGCAATTATTTATTTATTTTTTTTAATAAATGTGTGTCAACATTGTACTTTATAAGACTAAATAGATGTGAGCTGCATTACTTAAGAATATTTATGAATATAAACAAAATTCAGATTGAAGTTAGAGATGATTTTTTTAGAAACAACATTGAATTACTGGCTGTATTAAACTTACCATGAATCAGTTAATATCAGCTGATTTAAAAGTCTATATATTAATGTACTGTAATCTAAATTAATAAAATATTTTTTCTGAATAGGGCCCCTCATCCCTGGACACCTGGCGTCACCTAAAGGCTTTCTGGAATTTTTTTAATCCAAAATGGCAAATATTGATGTTTTACACTGAATTTAATGGATTCGAATTGTTATATTTAACAGACGCAAAAAAGCAAAAAACACCTCAGGGACATTATCAATAAATAAAAAAACTGTCACATGAAGAAAACAGCACAGCTTGTTTCACATGGACAACACGGTAACATTTACACGACTGTAAAATTAGTCAAAAACCAAATAGGGCAACTCGTCCGGGTCAGCAGCTGGAAGAAAACTTACTCTGAAACTATAATTGGTGATATCCATGTAAGGTCAGATGTTTACATACACGCCATAAAAACAACTTTTCCCCTCTGGTTGATATCTAATCAAATTAAACTGTTGCAGGTAAATTAACCAAATTTCAACTGATGGTCTTTAGAAATCTGAACATACTAATTACTTTCCCTCAAGCAGAGAAAGCCTGGATGATGAGGATGTCATGGGTTTCTATTTGTAATTTAGCTTACCACATTTGAATATATATGAGGAACACCTCCTGGTGTATTTCCTTGTGTGAAATCATAAAAATAAAAAAAAGAAAGAAAGAAAAATGATGAGGAATCAAACTGAGGGGTCTGGTTTTATCCCTTCTGAAGGCGCCACATTCATGTGATCAAACAATTATCATGAAATAACAGACAAAAAACATAAAAAGATGCTCCAGAAATAATCAAAAGACCTGGCGAAAACTTGGTCAGGCTGCAGGAGGGACGGGTGACAATCATGAGTAAAGAACATTTTGTTTCCTCTCCTCCATTTGCTGCCTCTTTAGGGAAACATGAAGCAGTGAAGACGCTAAACGACGGGCAGGGAGGCGTTTTGTACGCGTTTCTGAACGTTCACACAGTTAATCAGCAGCAGAAGCATTTCCTGGGAATTCCCTCTGAGAGAAACTGGAAGAGTTGGAGAAGCAAAGGAAGTATAAAAGCACATTTCAGTCACAGAAAAGAAAAAACCCTACAATGCACAAAACGACATGACAATGTTCTTTTTTTGTCTTTTTATTTGGTTAAATCTTTGTTAAAATACCTGGAGCAAGCTTTTTGCCTCAGTAAGATTGTTGGTGTCAAAAAGAACCAAATGAAAATTAAATTTGATGTCATCTAGATAAAAATCCAAATTTTCTCGCGTCCTTTATTTTAAGATTTGGGTCTTTGCTGTTCATTATTACAGAGTCAATATTACAGAGATGGGACAAAGCTTCAAGCAGACGGCGCTCAAAAAGTAACAAAAATACACAACCAAAGGGATAAAAATGATATAAATATCAGCATCTGTCCATTTTCTGAACTGCTGTCACAGTGACAGAAATATCTATGAACGTCTGAAAAAGTGACGGCGATATAATCGTCGTTTTCACCTTCTGAACATTTAAATTGATGAAATCCAAACAAAAGTTTCACTTCCAGAAAACTACCCAACTTCTGACCAAACGATGGAAACATCAACAATTTCTTATTATCTGAACTGCTAAAGCGACAAAATTTAACTTAATTCTTCACGTGAAAAAGTGACTGAAACAACCAAAAACTATTAAACAGGAATGAAAATTCAACCATGAATCCAAACTTTAAAATAATCTACTGCATGTTCCACTCTGCGAACTTTAAATAGAAATAGAGCCACATGAACCAATTTACGAACCTTTAAAGTGACAGAAATTCAACCTCATGTCCCACTTTATGAACTTTATAAGTGATAGAAATTATGCTCCACTCTACAAACTTTTAAAAGTGGTGGAAATACGACTGCGTGTTCTCCTAAAGTGGCGAACATTTATTTATGAGCCAACAGGCAGATGGAGCTTTTCGGGTGAACTTGTTGAATTTCTTACTCAACAAATTCTGAACTTCTGAAGGAGACACAAAAATTTAGCTGTTTCTATTCCAGCTTATAAACTTAAATTACAACATGAACTTTGACCCTCTTATAATTATAATTGGCCCATCTGTTTCTTTTTTTTATATATAGCTGTAAAATTGTCAAAAAAGTAAATAAAATAAAAAATGAATCTGAATTTTTGCTTCTTTTTGCAGAACATCCATCTGATAGATGGAAATACTAAAATACTAAGGCGGAAATACTAAACACGCACTTTCTGAAGTTGTTAAAAACATTATTACAATTATTATTATGATGATGATGTCAAATCTGAGGAGGCTTTTAAAACCACTGCCCTGAATCAGCTGCAACTTTTCATTTCTTTTTGAAAATAGAATTATATTTAAGTTAGAAATCATGAATGACGGCATCCATTTACATCCGGCAGGTTTGAACTCCTGCAGGTTGACCAAACCTTTACGATCACAACTCCACACAAACACTGTGCATGCAGTCTGAAGCCTGAGCCTCGGTGTTAATCATTAACGGGTTGGACCGGGCCGGTACACCCTGCAGCCCTCGCTGGTTGACTCTGGCTGTGCGTGTCAGGGTTGCCAGACACGAAGATAAACACACGGAAGGTGAAACGCAGACGTCTGCGTGAATGGACTCCAAAAAAAAAAAAAAAAATACGCGGAAGCGCGTCCAGAACAAGCTCGATGACCTTCTCAGGTGAGACCCTGAGCATGATTTGCCCCACGCCCCTCGAACGCGTCCTGCTGAGACAGGTGCTCCAGGGACGCAGAAGTTGGGGGAAGTTACGTAAAGGTGAGGGGAAAACCGGCTCGACTGGAAGTCAACACAAAACGCCGCATTTAAAACTCCGATGAGGGACTTTCTTTCTTTCTTTTCCTTTAAGGCAGAGTATCACGTTAACACACTTTCAGTACAGTGAGCTCCTCTGTTTCGGACACGGTCCACGCACACCTGCGCTGTTAGTTATGAAAAGCACGCACGCACACACACACACACACACACACGCTGATCTCCAACTTATGCGTTTGAAAGCGCAGACTCAGCAGAAAGCACCTCACCTCTTCCCATCTGATGAACTTGCTCCCTTTCTTCAGCTCTTCGTGGACGATCACGGGTTTCAGCTGCAACGCGTGGACTCCCGGCTTGGCCCCGGCCATGACGAGGGACTCCCCTGCCCGGGTGCCAACGCCTTAAACCGCGGCTTGCGCTCGCGGGACTCCCGGGAGCGTATCGATCAGCTTCTTCCCTCCTCCAAATCTTCTTCTTCGCCTCCTTTTTTCCTCTCGGAGGCCCCTCAAAAGTTGCCGCGGCGCGTGAGGAGCCAGATCCACACGGAGACGGGACCCACAGACGCCGCCGTCTTCTTCACGTCCGCGTCCACGCACCCGCGGCGACGCGCCCTGTCTTCTTTCACTCACCGGCTCTGATTCATGTATTTGCTTATTGATCCCCTCCTAAAAGCGCAGTGGAGATCCCCGTTTCCTCCTCCGGTCCATCTGGTCACAACTTTCCCCGCTTCCTTACTCTCTTGTCGCCTCTGAGGCGTTTCTTCTTCTTCTCTCCTCCTCCTCTCCGACCAGCATGTTTTCTGTGAGGGAAAAAAAAACAGAAAGAGAGAGGGTTGGATTTTTTTGTGTGTGTGTTTTTTTTTTTTTTTAAGAGGAGCTGTAAAGGGAGAGGAGGAGGACGGCGTCAGATAGCGCTGAGTGACAGAAATGAGAGAAGCGAGAGGGGAGTCTCAGTTTGTGTGAAATGGGTGTGTTTGAATTAGTTCCTCTGCTGCTTTGTGTCTCTGCGATGGTAAAAGTATTGAGGACGTGAGACTGAAGCAGCTGTGCAATGTGCAAGATTGTGCAAAAAGAGCGGTCTTGACCAATAGTTGGTTCTTCAAACTTCCTTAAATTCTCTGTTTTTGTCACTTAAATGTTTGAGATGATTGAGGCTGTAGTGTGTAACTTTTATTCGTTTTCGTTTAAATGTCATTTTATAGTACAGTATGAGACGTAATAAGTGAAAAAAAACTCGAGCTCCTCTCTTTTTTCCAGTACTCACAACCAATCAGAGCCAGGTGAAGGGTCTTAGCGCTGTCAATCACCCTCTGTGTGGCGCTGCTCATCCTCTCCTTGCTCTCTGTGGCACTGCAGGTAGCACAGCCTGTTGTGAGTGCTGCAGCTACTTAGCATGGCCACCACTGAAGGACCAATAAACAATCTTTCCAAGTTCTTTCCCTGTCATTAGCACATGTAGCATGATTGACAGCGCTAAGACCCGCCTCTTGGCTCTGATTGGTTGTTTTGGGTCAGGAACATTGCATTCTTCAGACACCTTCAGGGAGGATGTGGAGGAGATCGAGCTTTTCACAGATTATCTGTCTGATAACAAACATGATGACACTTTTAACAAATTGTAAAAAACTTTTTTTTAAGTAATAGTTACAAACTGTGCCTCATCTTTTATTAAATTTGAGTGTTTCCATAAAACGAATCACTTGGAAATGAAGCTGCATAACACAATGCAAATCTGCATTAAAATGACTTTACAGTGAACCAGAGAGCAACTTTTCTTCCCGGTCGCCTGCTGCGGATCGTGCGAACAAAGGACCCGCATTCTGATCCCGACCAAATCCAGCTGCCGAGCAACATCTCAGAAGGTCCTGCACCCATGGCTGTTCCCCTGCTCCTTAACTGCACCAGGCAGGAATGTTTGCTATGCTGCAGCCTGCTGACTGAATGACTGATGGACATACTTTCTGTTTGTGTTTCCCTGGACATGCAGGGGACGACGAAATCCAGGAGAGAGCAAACAAACTGCAACATATTCTAATCTGTAAAGCGTGTTTGCATCGTTTGGGTTCATCTAATCCCCAGGAACTGAATCCAGGAAGTAACAAAAGCCAGGCACACCGTTAATTAACCAGATCGTAACCCGACACACACACACACACACACACACACACACACACACACACACACACACACACACACACACACACACACACACGCCACCGCAAATGCATATTTACTACTCTGCAGCATGCACACACACGTTGGCAGGAATAATCTGTTCTACTGGTTTATAATCAGATGCACACACAGCTGCACCCCCCTCAACTCCTCTCTGTCATAAATATAAAAAAAAACATTTCCCACTTTATTTCTTTTGGCCAAACAATGGTGTGCTGTCAGCTGGATCTGAAGTGCAGGCACCTGTTTCTGGCCCGTCACAGAGAAACCCACAGGCCTCTAAAATATGGACTCAAGCTGCTAAACATTATTTGATCTGCCCATTGGATTTAAAGAGGACATACTGTGCTTCCCTGAACAGGTTAGGATGAGTTTATGGTCTATGCAAAACATTTTTTTGCTCAAAATCATTCTTAGACAATGATATTTTATTTTGTTCTGCATACTTTGAGCTCCTTTAATAACATGTTTTGAAAGTTGTCTATGATTCTTCAACTGAATTCGAAATATTTTGCAGCGCTGAATCCAGAAATGATTTCTTTATTCTAATTTGATTCAGATAAATCTGATCTTCTGACTAAATTGATTACATTTCAGTGACATTATCAGTTTCTTTACGTTAATATTTATCACCCAGAAAAAGGTTTTAGGAAACAAAAAAGTTTTCTAAGAGAATTGATGATTTGTTACATACGGATCCTCCTAGGGGACATGGGGAAATCTTTTTCTTTTTTTTTTTTTTTGAGTTTCCTTTGCAAAAAAAATTTCCCTGTCCCCTAAGGGCCTCCGTAGTTACAAACTTGGATTTCCGTAAATTGAATAATCAACACTGATACGTCTTCATCTCTCCTCATCGTCACTCATTGATCCCAGATTCTCAGGAAACCGACCCATATGCTGATGTTGCATCCATAGTCCAGAAAGTTGACCCAATAATCAAAACCAAAGTGATTTTTGGAGTCAGTAGATCAAAATGACCCTAAAACAGTTGAAACATTTTTTCGGCCGTTGACCGGTGTAATGAGCTGTTTTAGGGCATGTTGTCACTTTAAATGCAAATAAGCTGCTGCTGGCCACGCCCCCTAACTCAACATTTACACTTGCTCTGAAAATAATTGCAAACAGATGCGCAATTATACAACCGTAAATCTTTGAAAGGCAGAAGCTCCTAAATGGAAAGTTAACAACAAAATTCTTGTGTTTTCCAGCAGCCATTGTACAGTGCAGAAAAAACCAGCTGACCAAATGTGCTGGAGCTCAGGGTGCGTTGCTAGGTAACGGCGCAGTGCGCTCCAGCAATCTGGAGGATTTTTGAAACGGCTCAAAACATTTACTTGTTGCCTCTTTCAATAGTCTGGGTTGTTTTTAGAAGCAGTAGAAATCCAAACGAAAGTACAAAAAGGTGCAAAATGTGGATTTTGGTTGAAAAGGTTTTTAATGTTCCATATTTACAGCCTCTCTATTTCTACCCGGACACTAAAACTCAACATATCGCTGGTTTTCAGAAATGAAATCTCTGTTTAAAACTTCCACATGACATTATTAGCACTGCAAATCAAATGTGTTTGAGTTTACCCCGGTAAAAGCAGATTTATGGTGTTAAAGATGAAGGTTTATGGTGTTAAAGATGAAGGTTTATGGTGTTAAAGATGAAGGTTTATGGTGTTAAAGATGAAGGTTTATGGTGTTAAAGATGAAGGTTTATGGTGTTAAAGATGAAGGTTTATGGTGCTAAAGATGAAGGTTTTCTCTTGGAGCAAGAACAGATAGTTCAGGGGACTTTCAACCAGCTGGAGAATAAAACTGGAGTGATATTCTTAAAACAGTGTGATATTAGAGAACAGCTACAGAGAGGCCAATGGTAACTGCAGAAATCTACGACTAAGTGGGGAAAAATAAGTACTTTTGCTGACTGAAGTCTGAACAGCTTCTTCATAGTTTGTTATGACATTGAGGTTAATATGTTTTCTTAGCCTATATCTGAAAACTTGAAATGACTGCTTATCATTTCATCGACACAAAGTTACATCTGCAAGGTGCAGAAGATTTTCACAACCTATTCTGTTGTTTTTTTTCATCTTTGTTTTTTGAAACAGATCAGATAAAGCGTCATCCAGAGGTGAGCTGAGCAGCGAAAAGTGAAAGGAATTTCTGAAAAGAAAGCGAATGTGGTTTCTTTACTGGAACCGGTCGCAATGCAAGAATGTGTTGAGGAATGAGGAAGACAACAATTGACTTTCTGTCAGGACATAAAATAAAAAGAGAAGTCAAGATGCAGCTTGCAATAATTAATAACAACAATAATAAAAGAAAACAGAGCAGAGGTAAAGTTCAGAGGAGCAGAAATGAACAGATGTTTGAGAGGAAAAACTCCCGTCCACTCATCTTTCCTCCCTCTCTCTTTCTCTATGTCCAGCAAACGGACAAATTTTTCTCTCCAACGCATCGCCAAGGACTCACAAAGACACATTGTGTTAGGAAAAAATAAAAAAAAAGACAGACACGCTCACTGTGTCCTCCACACACTGCTCTCTCTATCCACACACACACATATCCAGTGCATTGCTCTGGTTTCAATGGGAGAGCCTGACTCAGTCCACAGTAGCAATAAAAACTTGATCAGATTCCTGAGACTTTGGCGTGGAGCCGCTGTCAGCTTTTACTGGAGTCTGGAGCTGTCTCCACAACACTGCAGGATTATTGTCATGGTTGTTTTGGAGAAAATCACTCATGTGGGCGTCTAGGCTGAGAGCTGATTATAGTTTCCCCCCCCCCAGAGCACCAATCCAAGGACAATGCTGATTACCAGAGAAGTGTCATTTGCTTTCACTGCACTCTTTTATTTATTTACAGCTGAATTATCGCTTGCAAACGTGCCAAAATGTTTTGAATGACATAAATTTTTCTGTCTGGTTCTCACGGTAGATGTGAGGCGCACAGTAAGTAATGCACCGCCATCTAGTGGCGGCGGAGCAAAACTACGCGCGTGTTTGTCGCCCGGCGTTTTGTGCAACAGTTAGGAAGGAATGTGGATGAACCATTTTCAGCTGTGCAGGGTGTAACCTGCATGTGCACACATATCAATCCTGGTTGTGCACACATAAATCACAGTGAGTCACAGAGGTGCAAACAGAGGACTCTGATGCATGCAGTGATAAAGATAACACACACACACACGCGCACACGCACACACACACACACACACACACACACACACACACACACACACAAAAGCAGGGGAAAGCTTCTTATTTCAATGGAGATTTACATAGAGAGTCTGGTCTGCCTCATTGTCTCGCACACACCGCAAACAATGAAATGCAAACTGACCACCAGCTCCCTCTGGTGGACAGAACATTACAGCTCTCATTTAAATTGCTTTTTTTTTAGAAATATTGTAGCGTGTCAGATCCCAATTGTTTTATATAATCAACTGTTATTTAGCCAAATGTTTTACCCTTCCACCATGCAGCAGGAAGGCTGAACAAAAGATTTGCTTTTAGAAGAATTAAAACATGAAACAAATCCTTGTTTTACTATAGTTTTATAATTGCACATTTATGAAAATATGCTGTTTCTAATGCAGTTTAATTAACTTATTACATAAAGTGTTATATTTGTATATTCATGTAATTGTTTCTGTGATAAATGTTGTTTTTTTATGAGGTGGACACCAGGAGGAGAACCCGTTGTAGAGATATAGCTGTTATGTTAATTTAAAACTTTAAACAACAAATTTGCAACTGAGTATTTGGACTTTTCTAAGGAAATAAAATAAACAAAAATTACAAGAATGAAATTGTATGAGAATAGAGTCATAATCCAACAACTTTACTCTCTAATAAGTTCATTCCTGTAATGCGATGACTCTTTCATAATGTTATTTATTATGTCCTTATCATCAGCAGGGATGTAAACATGTTTGTCGGGAGGAGTGACAGCTATAAATGCATAAATGGTTATAAAATAAGGAGAGGAAGGATCTGTGACAACGCTTTTTTGTGTACCCCGGATGCAGTTTGTCTGTCACTGAAGGAGCTCTAGAGTGCTCTGGAGTGTGCAAAATATGAAAAAAAAAAAAAAAAGATAGAAATGTTTTCTATTAAAGAACCAGTTGAACTTGTTCCAGCGCTGACGTTATAGGGAACATTAAAATACGTTCCGTTCAGAAGCATCGACGATTCGGTTAAACCACAGTTTGGCATCTTCTGCCTCAAGGCGCTTCGGCGTGACGAATCATGTCACATTTCTTACAAAAAAGCATCTTTAGATTGATAAAAATCTGTGTTTTTGAATTCTTGGAGACAAAAAGGCTTTGAAGATAAAACAGAAAAAAGTCAATGAGGAAAAAAAACTCATGTAGTAAACAAACCAGAATCTGATGCAATGAGCAGCTTCATTCTGTCACACACTGGCAGAAACAATGAGCTGCCCTGGAAAAACTTGAGTTTTCAGATCAGTGGCAGATTTTTTTCTCTCTCATGCTTCAAAGCATGGCTTGGCTCACCGAACCAGTCCAGGAAATGCCACTGCAGCCTTCCCAACATGTGTGTAAAATCTCTGAATTTTAGACAGTTTGCAAACAGTTTTAACGCAGATCAAACTAAACACATGATGGAATAACAGTATAAAACGATGAAAGCCCAATAAAGTGGAGTTTATGTGATTCTGTTCTTTTAAGGGCCTGGAATAAAAAGGTTGTTGTCAATGTTGGAGGTGAACATTCAGAGCTTGCAGCAATTTTCTGCTGCAGAAAATTGCTGCAGCTGTTGTTTAAGTTTTGTTTTTTATTCAAACGCTATCACAAGTTTACAATTGTCTTACTATTCATACTAAAACTTAATTTTATTTTTTATTTGATCATTTATCTACCTATATCTGTTTGTTGTGAAGCATTTTCATTGGCTGAGGTTGTTGTAAATGTGCTGTATAAACAAACTTTGACTTGATTCGAGTTTACCAGTCTGCAGATAATTTTCTGATCTAAACGTGTCTTTTTTAATATTTTTACAAGATTTTTTGGCCAGAAAAAAATACTATAGGGCTGGGTTAAAATTGATTTTATTCATTAGTCAAACTTTCTGTTTATGAAGGTTTAAATTTTGGAAAATCAGATGTTTTTTGCACCAATGTACTCTTTAAGTTAAGCTCAATTTAGTTGGTTTTGCATTCTGGCATTGCTGACAAAAAGAGCAACATAACAGTAGAAAACCAAACAAAGCATCTCAGTAATCTTGTTTTACAGATTGTATTTATTTCAACTTTAAGTTCAGATACTTGTGCAGAAGGAAAACCTGAAATAAAAGCAAGTTTTTGAAAATATTTGACATCAACGATTTGGCTTTTTTTTTTAATCTTATTTTATTTTGAAACCGTACCAAAACACACCAACTCATCATCATCATCACCTTCTTTATTATTTTGACAGAATCGATGCGTTTGAATAATGTCTCTCCCTCTCTCCAGAAGGCAGCATGTTTGTTGAGTTTTTCTGCTGCAGAAATGTGGGTGAAAAGCTGTGCATGTCTGAGCACACATGTCTAAGTGTGTGCTTACTCGACTGTAAGTTTCAGACCTTTCTCTGAATAATTCAGGTTTCATGTCTTGTTGCCATGGCTGTCTGTGAAATTTGCCCGGCAGGACACACACGTGCATTGGTATGAAGAAATGATAGATGTGAACACCCCCACCTTGCACACACACACACATGCAGACCAATAAAAGAAGTGAGAGACGGTGGTTGCGATTCACTCTCCCTGTCTGCACCTCCTCCCTGACTCCTGTTGTTATTCAAACTTTAGTTTCAATCTGCACGTCCAGGAAGGAGGCCTCCTGCTGTGACCACACAATGGACCCACTGTGAAGAAATGCGACGCGTTTCTCCTTTTAACACCTTATCGCTGCGGCCTTCGCCTGCTGGTGAATCAGTTTCATTTCAAGACCAACACTGAATACAGTTGTTCCTGCTGATTTCCAGCTGTGGTTCACATTGTAATCTTGGAAGAGAGTCAGGCTATTGAAAACTTAAGCAGCATAAAATATCTTTGGGTTTTATTGTGGTGTTTTGAAGTTAAAGTATGAGCTCAAGGTGTGAAACTTTCACTATATGCAGCACAAAAGCCAGCTGAATTATTTCAGACTCTTTAGCAGGTCTGATTTTTACATGCTGGGAAAATAAGTAAATTATCCACCCATCCATCCATCCGTCCATCCATCCATCGTACATTTTTGCATTACTCAATTTAAGCAATGATCCAGGATGCAATAATTTTGTAAAATTGTTGCAGCAATTCAACAAATAAATTGAACTATCTTCCTGCTCTGACTTCCTTCCCAAAAATTTAATACAAAAAAAAAAAAAGCTTTATTGGAAAAACATGCAATATTTATAGAAAAAGTATCACAGCCAACCTGTTCTTAGAAATTCTATCCGGTTAGAAATAACCTATTCAGAATCTGCTCGAGCCCCAGATTGCATTAATAATGTTCGGTAGAAAGAACAGAACTTTATTCAATATATTACTGATATAAAAGTGACCGCACAAAAACCGAAAAAGATTAAAAATGAACAAAAAATGAACCAAGCCGTCAGAATTGGATCCCGAAAAAATCCCCTGAAAGCCCACCACGCGCCTCTCCTCGGAACAGCGAAACGGAGAAGGGGTATAACTTTATTTACTGTGCTATTAAAATAAAACGACAGAATAATTTTACAAAAATAAAATAATAAAATTGCACAAAAAGCTGAAAAAAATAAATGCATGAATAATTCGTACACAGCAGAACCGAACCATGAGAGTCGGATCCCGGAAAAGAGCCGTAAAGCCCACCACGCTGCTCGGGGGGGCCAGCGGAACGGAGAGACCGACGTGCGATTCCTCTTTGTACTCAACCAGAAGAGTTGAGGCCGGCTCTACCTCCGCTGCCTTCTCCTTTTTTTAACAGAAGCAGGGAGCCTGAATGCTGGAAATAGCCCGATAAGCCGGTTACCCGTCCGCTTTAACCGCAACAGTCGGTCTGTCTTCGTGGAAGCGGGCGTCCCATGTCAGTGTCCCTTTAGCCATTTTGTACGACAAAAGGTCCAGCGACCGTTATTTTCTGTTTTCTTTCTTACCGGGGGGGATTTAAAGTCACACACAGCTATTTATTTGTGGATCACTCCCATTTTTGTCACACTTCCACACCTCCAGACAGAAGGGGGGTCCATTTTCCTTTTTTTTTTTTTTTTTAAGAAAAGAAAAATCATCCCCTGAACCGAGCGACAATGGCAGCTGTGACGAGTCCGGAGACGAGCCCTCAACCGCGGGTGTATTTCCAGACGCCGGCCGGCACCACGGAGGAACCGGAGACTCCCGTCAGGAAGCAGGGACGGGTCACCGTGAAATACGACCGAAAGGAGCTGAGGAAGAGACTGAACCTGGAGGAGTGGATCATCGACCAGCTAACGGACCTCTATGACTGCGAGGTAACGCAACCGAACCGAGCCTGTATTGATTAACCAGCCTGATCCAGAAGAAAGAAACGCGACCAGCCTCTTGGTTGCTTTTGGCCTAGCTTTGCTAATTTCTCAGACAGAACTGTTGACAAACCTGACGGACATGTTTGTGATTAAAGTGTTAAAGACTTAGAGAGTGAGAATAAACGATTGAAACTCTTATTTTGGGTGGTTTTTAGGAGCGATGTGGGAAAACTTCCCATCCTCTCCTACAGGTTGGCTAAATGTGGCACATGGTGCTTTATAGCCTCATCATGAAGCTGGCAGCGTGGCTCTTTGTTCTGATTGGCTGAAACCGGCTTAAAGCACACCTGAGATTTATTTCACTTTATTTAAATACACCCTGCTTTTCTGTATCTTTTTAATGTGGTGCTTTTAAAAAATTTAAATTAAACTTGGCAATGTTTATCGTTTTTTTTATGCCACTTACTCCAATTCCAGTTCTCGTGTTTTTTTTGTTTTTTTTTACTTTAGGGAACATATTATAACGTGCACTAAATTTATTGTTAGTATATGAAAAAAAAAAACAATTACTTTGCACCCAACAAAATGCTCAAAATAAATTCTGCTACCAGTTTTTTGTTTTTTTTTTTGCAGTTTTCAACTTGGATAATTAAACAATAATTTAACTTACTTATACAGAATTGGTAAAGATCCTCAATTCATTATCCATACTTTAATCAAAAATTTAATCAAATTCTTCATTTGATTATGAAAAATGTTTTGTTTCAATAAACTTTAATTGATGGTGATTAAAAACAAAACTGGCAGTCTTTTCAGAAATGTTAGGTTTGTTTTGTCATCAGTAAATATAATAAATTTGAAAATACATTATGATTAGATACTATCAGCATGTGCAGTTTAGTGATAGAATTTAAACACTTTTAAGCAAGTTGCTTCGTGTTGAAGAGTTTATGAAGGGAAATTTTGCTTTGGGTGTATTGGTATTGATTGTTTTTGGTTGTTGTTTTAAAATGTTCTCCAGCATCCCTTACAAGATTAAAATTTATTGGTCTTGCATTATTAAGTCATCGTCAGTTAGGCTTGGCACAGTTACAAATTGGACTGGAAGACATTTTAAAGGGCCAAAATAAATAACACAACAGAAACGACAAATAAAATGAATTACAAAGTCTATAAAAGAAGAAAAGGCAAGTTGAGACCGGAGCTCCAGACTGATGACTTTCTCATCTAGTATTTGGTAGAAAGAGAGAAAAACGATAAATCAGTTTAATTATTATTGAGCTAATTTTAACATATCATGCTATTAATTAATTTATTGCTTCCTGCGACAGGCCCATTATCAATATATTACTTGAAAATGGTCTTGCAGTAATTACTGGGACAATTTATCATCAAGCAAAATAAGTTATTGAGACAAGCCTGACCAGATGGGGAACCAAAACTTTGACACTAGTGAAATAATTGCAGAGGCCAATGTTGGCGATAAGGACCATTAAGTCAGTCTATGTCCTCCAATCAGGAGGAGAAAACTGGTCTGGAAAAATCAACTTAGTACCTGTAACTGGTCCATATCTTTAAAACCCACACTTCCCAGTCTTTCCCTGTTAGTCATAGCCAAAGGTGAGTCCTAACAAGGTTCTGAAATGCCTCATCTGACTGTAGAGGTCCAGTCATTCATGTCTGACCGGCTGTCTGTAGCCGAAGTGATGACTGGATATGCAACTGTCAGGAGAATCCTCCTTCACCTCATCAGACCGTCGGTCACAGTGACACATGCAGGTCCGTGCGGTTTCTCTGACGGTGGCAGCTGTGTGGTGTATAACTGCTGCCGTCAGTAGTTGGTAAGCTGGTGTCAGATCCACTGAGCTGGCTTTGACCCATATTCTGTCCACAGTTTCTGGAGTACGGAGACTTACAGGGCCTGAAGATGGAGTCGGACAGGACGGAGCCAGGCTTTTACTGACTGATAATAATAAAATGATGATGGGAAAACTATTTAGTATTTCCCTTTTAGGTAACTGTATGTGTGTGACTACATGGCATAGAAATTATAAAGCACTCAAACAAGGTTTCCCCCAGAAAACTTGCTAAACCTGGTGGTTGTGGAGCTCAGGCAATCATTCATCTAGCAGTGCGCCGTGTTTTTGAGTTAAAAAATGTTTAAAGTTGAGAGGAAATTCGAAAATATCCCTTGATCATTATGTTTTATTGTAAGAGCAATACCAACTATAAAGTCTTAAAAATGCAAACATTTAGAAACAAATGAAAGGAATAAGCAATATTTAGCCTGGCGGGGTCACAAGTAAAGCCTGGTGGCCCGCCAGACTTATAATAAACTGAAGGAAACCCTGCTTGAATAATTTTTCCATTTTCCATTTACTTCTTTTTGATGTCATTTGCTTAAAGAAGTGTTATTTATATCACTAACTACATTTAATAAAAGTCTGAATAGATATGCACTGATCTACATTTTTCACTTCTGATACCAATACAGATTAGTATCAGCCAATAAAAATGTTTTTAAAAAATTGATAACTCTGCACCAGAGCAGCACAATGAAAATAAACCAATAGCTTGACAAACTCGGTCAAACATGTAAAAACAACTTTAATTTGTTCAGTCAGTGCAGTTAGCAGTACAACAGCCAATGCAAAATAAAAAATAAATAAATTGAAACTGACAAAAAAAATGGTTGACTTGGTAAAAAAAAACACAAAAAACTGTAACAAACGTTCCTTCAGATATTTCGCCTGGTTTGAACATGCTGAACATAGATGTTGGACTATTTTCTGCAAGTAATCGTGTAATTAGGGGAAACGTTCAGTCTGAGTCCAGACTGCAGCCTTTTGTTTCTCTGACATTGTCCATCCTGTCTCTAAAGCCAGCAGAGAGGATTAATGGGCCTAAAGAGGATTTGGAAATCAACATGCTTTGATTTTCTGCCAATAATATCCTCTGCAGACCTTTTATTGTTTATGGAGGTTTCAATGCACTGATAATCTGTAAACAGATAAAGTTCCCAAAAGTACCTGATATGATATACATGGGATGAAACTGTCAACTCTATTTCATCCTTTCATGTGCATTATCAGCTTTTAGTTGAATTTATGTGACAGTTGCCTTATTTCGTACTTCAGGACTCACATTCTTGATTTGGTGGTGTCCATACTCGCCACCCCTCTTCGTTGTCCCAATCCAGTCTGAGCCGAGGCTGTTAGACAACAAAGAGATTAATTTACAGTCGGTTCACTGACGGAGGCGCGCTGGGCTCAGTTAGAGTGGGAGATGTGAAGCACGTGCTGCCGAACAGTAACTGGAGAGGAACCCCAGTTTCAGACAAACTCACTTAACCTGCATCTACATCAACCAGCAATATCATCAGGAAAAATCCTGTTTTTCCTGATGATATTCTTTTAAAAAAAACTTTAAAATAGCTTGAAATTGGTTTGTTATGAGCTGTTTAACATTCATATTATCAAAGTAAAGATGCCGGTGGTTTCTGCCGGAGTTGCTATGGGCATTTAGTGGCACAAATCCATGGCAACAAGGTTTGCTAAATGTTTTTGTGGGTTAACCAAGCACTGCACTGAAAAAACACAAAATCTTACCAGGTACTTTTGGTCTGGTTTCTAGTGCAAATATCACAGTACACTTAAAATGAGACAAAACTAACCAAGTCACTTTTTAGCAAGAAAAAGGAGCTTGTTTTGAGTTGATAATTCTTTAATATTGATGAAAATGTAACCGGGGAAAAATGTTTCTTGTAAAATTATCAGCCAATGGAACTAGAACTTTTTCATCAATAAGGAATTTCTGACCTAAATCAACCTCCAATGTCTTACTAAAAAGTTACTCATTAGTTATTTTTGTCTTATTTCAAGTGTACCAGTACATTTACACGAGAAACTAGGCCAAAAATACTTAGCAAGATTTTGTGTTTTTGGAGTGTGAAGAGAAAAACCTCATCCCATTTAAATCAATTGCAAGATGGACAGATTTTAATGATGCATTGGTTGTATGTTTGACATCCAGATTTTAGCATATTTTCATCCATTGCATGTGAAATACAATGTGAACCACATAACGGATGGATATGTGGTTAAAACTAGTTGGTGCTTAGTCAACCAATATTTCTCAAGTCCGCTGCAAAAATATTCATACCCTTTTGACATTTTTTGGTTTTGTCACTTTATCACAGCCTCAAATGTATTCTCGATAAACAAATTGTAATCGTTTGCAAGCATTTGCACAATCTCTGCTGCATGGACCATGTGGTAGAACCATGGTTTGCTTTGGTTGGTTTTTTGGAGCATGTCTGCCTTTAGAAGCTTTTCAAACAACAACAACAAATTGGTAGTGGTTTAAATCGTACTCGGCAGGTCAGACTTTATAAAGAGTGCCGATTGTGATCGACCAGAAAACTGCGATCAATGCATCGCTTCTTTGATCGGTGCAGTTGAAGCTGAGGTTGTCTGTTTATGGTGGTTTAGCTTTAGGTATGAACTCTTTCACATCCTCTTTGTTCCAGCAAAACAAAGAAAGTCATAAAATCTCTTTTCTTTTAAATATGTTCCCCATGTGTGAATCAGCGTTCACAATCAATCAGTGTTATTTTTGGGGCTCATCTGACCAGAATAGCTTCCTCTTTATACCAATAATGAAACTCCTGGTTTCACTGGATTTTACTTTAGGGTAAAAGGGGCTAATACCACACTTTTTAGGTTTTATTTGTGTTTGATTTTCCTTCTATGCTATAGTTATTCACCACTAACTTAGAAAATATGCTAAGTTAGGTTGTAATTTGACTAAACTTTTAGGTGATGGAAGACCTTGCAAAACCCATTTGGACCTTCGTCCCAGGTGCAGTTTATGAAGAGGTGCCTCAGGTTATCTGATAGGTGTGCTGTGTTTTTGTGTTGTGGGAACAGCTGCAGCAGAGCCTCCAAATGTGTGGAAACCCACATTCCCCAACTCTTTGTTTATTTTTAAACCCAGCCATGCTAGCT